ATTGTTTGGATGTCATCATCAGAGAAGAGGGGAGGGACAACAAGAGGGGAAATTGAGCTGGGTCTGCCTGCAGGAAGACCTGGCTCAGGCTGCTGTGGACAGAGACCCTCATCAAGCCAAGTGGAATGGAGCTGGCCAAGCTGAGCCTGACTTTTTTCAATAAAACATTGTGTACTTCTGGGCCTCCTGCTGCCCCAGCTCTTTTTCCCGTGGCGCCAAGGGAAGAAAGACTGAACTGAACCCAAACCCAGAGCCAGATCCCTAAGGCTATGCCCCTTCCTGGCCACCCCCATTGGTGGTTCTGCCCCTCCCTCTGGCCCTGGGGCCCCTCCCATCCCCGGTCTAGATAAGGCCAGCCCAGGACTGCCTCATCTGGCAGTAGGCACTGGGCTGGAATGGGGCTACCTGGCTCCCCATGGCAGTGGGTGCTGCTGCTTTTGGGGCTGCTGCTCCCTCCCGCTGCCCCCTTCTGGCTCCTCAATGTGCTCTTCCCCCCGCACACCACGCCCAAGGCTGAACTCAGTAACCACACAAGGCCTGTCATCCTAGGTAAGCCCCCACTAGGTCCCTGATGCATCAAACGAGACCTTGGGGACCCTGGGTCCTAACACCTGACAGCAGCAGATGCTGTCAAGGTTCTGCCGTCTCCACCATTAGCCCTCATGCCAGACTTGGTACGGGGAAGGGTCAAGGGTTTGTTCTACAGAGACACTGCCCCTTTCCCTTCACACTGTTCTGTCTCCAGGTTGTCTTCTTCAGGGGTTTGGGATGGGGTGGTGGTCGGCGAATGGGATGCAGTTTGCCTACGGCTTTGGACAGGGCAGCGTGAGCTGTGGCCAATTCCAGACACACTGGATACTGGGTTAAGCCCACTGCTTCCTTGGCTTCTGCCTTACCAAGAACAAGACACCTAGTCCAGGACAGGACAGTAGAGGTCCAGAAAGGCCTGCCCCTTGCTCTAGGCCCAGCCCCTGTTCCCCTGTACCTATTTGTTCTCTCTTTGGACTTTGGCAATAATGGAAAGCCAAGCTGGATGTTTGTTTTGTGGGGGCGGAGGGCAGCGGCCTTGGTTCCTGCACCTTCCCTGCCTGAAGGGAGTCTGGAATCTGCAGAACTGGTGGGACTGTAAGAAGTATGACGGAGAGAGGATAAGTGTCACCAGAACCCTGAGGGTGCGGGAGATGGAGGGGTGGGCTTTCTTGGTGATAGGGTTCGGGGTGTGGAGAGAAGCTAAGTCCAGACAGAACAAAAGCTGGTGCCCACAGTACCTGGCTGCCTGGGGAATCGTCTAGAAGCCAAGCTGGATAAACCAGATGTGGTGAACTGGTTGTGCTACCGCAAGACAGAGGACTTCTTCACCATCTTCCTGGATCTCAATATGTTTCTACCCCTTGGGGTGGACTGCTGGATTGATAATACCAGGTATGTCCCATGTGCCCTACCCAGCCCCTACACATTACCCTTCGGCTGCTGGCTGCTAAATGTCCCACTGTCCCTAGGGTTGTCTACAATCGCAGCTCTGGGCGCGTGTCCAATGCTCCTGGTGTACAGATCCGTGTCCCTGGCTTTGGCAAGACCTACTCTGTTGAGTACTTAGACGACAACAAGCTAGCAGGTGTGTGTGCTCAGGGAAAGGCAGGGGCTCTTCTTGGCTATCAGGCTGGCCTAGCGGTGTCATGGACAGAGCCCCCTGTGTTGCTGCCTCCCCGCAGGTTACATGCACACACTGGTCCAGAATCTGGTTAACAATGGGTATGTGCGGGATGAGACGGTGCGGGCCGCACCCTATGACTGGCGTTTGGAACCCAGTAAGTGCTTGCAGGTGAGGGGCTGGGGTATGACAGGTGGTCCCAGACCCTAACTGTCCTGATGTCTACCCGTCTCCAGGCCAGCAAGAGGAATATTACCAGAAGCTGGCAGGGCTGGTAGAGGAGATGCATGCTGCGTACGGGAAGCCTGTCTTCCTTATTGGGCATAGCCTGGGCTGCCTACATGTGCTGTATTTCTTACTGCGCCAGCCTCAGTCCTGGAAAGACCGCTTCATTGATGGTTTTATCTCTCTTGGGGCTCCATGGGGTGGCTCTGTCAAGCCCATGCTGGTCCTGGCCTCAGGTGAGGAGCTTTTGATCGCTGTTGTCCTGTGTGGGGTGAGGAAGGGATGAAGCAGATCACAGAGCTGGCTGTCACTCCAACTGTGCTCACAGTGTCGCCCAGGGAAATTGTCTGTGGGGCACACCGGCTGCCCAGCTCCTTGAAGACAGTACCATTAGGATGTTCCCTTGCAGAGTCCTTAGTGATGATAAGGGAGGTGATGGAGGAAGTCAATCCCAGTAGTCTGTCAGCTTCTGATTTGCTCTATGTAGCCCCACATCCTCTGGCTTTTAGCTGCTTTTTGCTCTCTGGAGCCCCATGCCCAGGAATCTGTTTTATTGAGGACGTATTTGCCACAGCATGGCCAGACCTCATGCTCTGTGTTTTTTGAGTAGCTTCCCCAGGAACCCAACACTAATACAGCCACCACTCACTGAGTACCGTTTTATACTGGGCACAGCAAGGCCCAGCCTTCACTGTGGAAGTTCACAGTCTAGTGAGTAACTCACCAGACTATGTCACTGACTGTAAACAGACACCATCTAATCCTCCAAAAATACAATCCTGTGACCACCCTGCAGCATAGGCCCCATACAGGACCTGAGGAAGAATAGCCAGTACACACGCATGCACACACACACACACACACACACCACAGATCTCACTCTTTTTAACTGACACACCGTTTGAGGCCCCATAGCTCTGGTTTACAGAAGTAGCAACATGGCCTCTTCAAGCTTGAGCACCTGACTGGACACCAGGCCTGCTTTGGTCTGGGTCTTGGAATCAAGGTCAGGACGGGGCCCGGACAGGGCTGAGTGCTTCCTGTCCCACAGGCGACAACCAGGGCATCCCGATCATGTCCAGCATCAAGCTGAGAGAGGAGCAGCGCATCACCACGACGTCACCCTGGATGTTTCCAGCCCGCCAGGTCTGGCCTGAAGACCACGTGTTCATTTCCACCCCAAACTTCAACTACACAGGCCAAGACTTCAAGCGTTTTTTTGAGGATCTGCATTTTGAAGAAGGATGGTACATGTGGCTGCAGTCACGTGACCTACTGGCGGGCCTTCCTGCGCCTGGTGTGGAAGTGTACTGTCTGTATGGTGTGGGTCTGCCCACACCCGGCACCTACATCTATGACCATAGCTTCCCCTACAAAGACCCAGTGGCTGCGCTCTACGAGGATGGGGATGACACTGTCGCCACACGAAGCACTGAGCTCTGTGGCCGGTGGCGGGGCCGCCAGTCACAGCCTGTGCACCTGCTGCCCATGAATGGGACCGAGCATCTCAACATGGTCTTCAGCAATAACACACTGGAACATATCAACGCCATTCTCCTGGGTGCCTACCGTCATGGTACTCCTGCGTCCCCCGCTGCCAGCCCAGGTCCCCCACCCCCTGAATAAAGACCTTCGCTGTTATAAGTCCTGTGAGTCGTGGGTTAAATGGAAGGCACTAGTAGGATCCTTAGATTCATGTATCACCCAACCCAGAGGCGCACGAGGTGAGATAGGCTTTGCTAAGCCTGCCACTGAACTGAACAATGAGAGGTATAGCATCTCATTGCCCTGGTTGAGCTGCTCAGAAAGCCTGCCCTTTGCCTTCCTTCACAGCACCTGTGCCAGTATTCAAATATAGGTACAGCTGTTGGAATGGGACACAGAGACATATGATTCGAATTCTAGTTGGATAAGAGTTTAAAATAGGACCAGGTGGTGGTGGTACATGCCTTTAATCCCAGCATTTGGGAGGTGGAGGCAGGCAGATCTCTGTGAGTTCGAGGCCAGCCTGATCTATATAGTTCCAGGATAGCCAGGGCCACATAGACCTTGTCTCAAAAACAATAAATAAATAAATATGGCTGGGCGATGGTGGTACACATGTTTTTAATCCCAGCACTAAGGAGACAGAGACAGGCGGATTTCTGAGTTTGAGGCCAACCTGGTCTACAAAGTGAGTTTCATGACAGCCAGGGCTAGACAGAGAAACCCTGCCTCAAAAAAAAAAAAAAAAAAAAAAAAAGACTAAACTAAATAAATCAATAGAGTTTATAATATGGGAGCTGAGAGCTGGAGATCTGTTAAGAATATAAAATTGGGGCTGGAGAGATGGCTCTGAGTTAAGAGCACTGGCTGCTCCTCCAGAGAGGTCCTGAGTTCATTTTCCAGCCCAGCAACCATATGAGATGGCTCATAACCATCTATAATGAGATCTGGTGCCCTCTTCTGGCATGCAAGCAGAACACAATGGTCTACAGAGCTAGTTCCAGGACAGCCAGGGTTAAACAGAGAAACCCTGTCTCGAATAAATAAGTAAGTAAATAAGTAAATAAATACGTTTAGAGCTAGGTGATGGCACTACACGTTTTTAATCTCTGCATTCAGGCCAGCCTGGTCTACAGATTGAGTTCCAGCACAGCCAGGGCTACATGGAGCAACCCTGTCTCAAAAACCAAAAAGTCTAGGAAGCTTGGGATCTAAAAGAATGGCAATTCAGCTAAAGAGGGCTTAATTTGGGGCTGGAGAGATGGCTCAGAAGTTAAGAGCACTTGTTGCACTTGCAGAAGACCTGGGTTGGGCTCCCAGCACCCACATGGTACACCAAATGGTTCACAATCGTTCGTTCCAGGGAATCTAATGCCCTTTTCTGACCTTGGTGGGCACCTGGCATCACTAGAACACAATTAAACCTAAAAGGGCTTCATTTATACTTCAAGAGTTATGTGGTGGAGTGTTTTGCCTGCATATATGTATGGGCTTGCAGTCAGATAAGAGGGGGATGGAGGAACTGAGGAGCGCCATGGAAGACCTGGCAAGGGGTACAACAGCCCCTTCCTCAAGCTCCCTGGAACCAGGCAAAGGTGAAAGTGAAACAGAAGACGCACAAAGCGCCTGCAGCCTCTGACCAGGGGTGGAGGTGAAACCGAAAGTGGGAAGCCCTAAGCGTCCTGTACAACCCCACCGAAGCCGAGGCAGACGCTTTTCTGCTTCGCCCCACGGGCTTCACTCTTTTCATCTGATCGACCCCCGGATCTCGGCTGGCTTCCCTGACCCGAGATGCTGAAGCAGGCAGTGGAACACAGAGGAGGCTTCTCTTTCGAGAACTGCCAGAGGTGAAGGGGGAGTGGAGTTCTAGTTGAGAGCTGTCGACAGTAGGCGGCCTTTTTTTACTGGTGGAAGTGGGGGAGCCTTATGTTGGGTGACCAAGTAGGGGCTTAACCCAGGAAATGAGGAAAGTAGAGATAGTTTGGGGGGCCGGTTCAAGGGCTCTCCCTAGAAGCAGAATTGAAACGTGAGTCACCCCACTGTTTGCAGGAATGCGTCCTTGGAACAAGTCCTGTCGGGCCTTCGGGTCCCTCATGCACGCAAGACCGGGACTACCATCGCGGGACTCGTGTTCCGAGTGAGCAGGGCGATAGGACTGGAGGGTTAGGTTGGCGCCACTGCGGAGATCGCGTGGGCACTAAGGCTGGGCTCTTCCTCTGCAGGATGGAGTTATTCTGGGTGCCGATACGCGGGCCACTAACGATTCGGTCGTGGTTGACAAAAGCTGCGAGAAGATCCACTTCATCGCTCCCAAAATCTAGTAAGAATCCCCAGCTCAGTCCCCACACTCAGACAAACGCTGCACCGTCTGTCACTCACGCCCTCCTCTGTCCCTGCACGTCCCAGTCTACACCCACCATCCCTTTCCCCTCAGCTGCTGTGGGGCTGGAGTAGCTGCAGACACTGAGATGACCACGCGGATGGCAGCTTCCAAGATGGAGCTACACGCACTGTCCACCGGTCGTGAGCCTCGGGTGGCCACGGTCACCCGTATCCTGCGCCAGACACTCTTCCGGTGAGGAGGTGGGGTAAAGATGATCCCCAGCGAGGGTCATTTACTTGCAGGTAGGGGGGGTTGACGGGGGTGGGGGTGGGCGCAAGGAAAAGGCGAGGCTGCAACCTGCGGAAGAAGCCAGGCAGGTGTGGCCAAAACTGAATTCCGGAAGAAGCCACATCAATCATAGGACGCCAGGTCACAGGAAGGGGAGGGACTCAGACCTAGAACTGGCATAAGAGGCGGAGCCAGCTCCAGTTGGCACTAACAGCGCCCACTTATCCACAGGTATCAAGGCCACGTGGGAGCATCACTGATCGTGGGCGGGGTTGACCTGACCGGGCCACAACTCTATGGAGTACACCCCCACGGTTCCTACAGCCGTCTGCTCTTTACGGCTCTGGGTGAGTGCTTCCTCCTTTTCCCACAAATCCTGCCCCTGCAACACTACCTTCAAGGTTTGTTCTCCAGAGTAGGCAGTAACAGCTGACTTCAGATGTCCCTTCCCACCTGTAGGCTCTGGACAGGATGCGGCCTTGGCCCTACTGGAGGACCGGTTCCAGCCAAACATGACGGTGAGCGACTTCTGTCCATTACTTCATGCTCACAGGTGGGGAGTGTAAAACAAAACAAAACAAAAAACCTGGCCAAGTAAGGAAGGCTTGGAGGGGAAGAAGGTGACACCTGAGTAGGGACCGAATAATGCTGAAGGTCCAGTCAGTAACCAAACTTATACCACTGAGAGATGCTCACAAATGATCGTTAACTGAAGGAAGAGGTAAAGCCCAGTGCGGTTCTATATGAGGTTTGAGGTCTGGACTTTGGAGTGCGATAGAAATTGGCCACTATGTGCTTCAGGAATAACTAAGGCCCAGAGAGACACTTAGTGACAGAGGACTAGATTGGTGGGTGGGAAGACGGCCGGAAGGGCCCTGGAAGTGTAAGGGACACTGAGAAGCTTGTACAGGGGGACCAGTGGGTGGAAGCAACACGGGGTTTGGGGAGAAAGCAAGTCAGAAGCCGAGGGACTGGAATTTTGACTGGCAGGAGAGAAAGGAGGTTGGGCTTGCACAAAGGGCCGACTGTCTAGGCTTCAAGATTAACAAAGTCCCCAGGTTAACGTGAGACCACACCAGGCTCCCTAACCTCATTCACACTACCACAGCTGGAGGCTGCCCAAGAGCTGTTGGTGGAAGCCATCACTGCAGGGATCCTGGGTGACCTGGGCTCTGGAGGCAGCGTGGATGCGTGTGTGATCACTGCAGCAGGTGCCAAGCTGCTGCGGACACTGAGCTCACCCACAAAGCCCGTGCAGAGGTAGGACCAGGGGAAGGGAGGACAGCCGGCCGGCCGGCCTGGAGTACTGCCAGGCTGCACGCTGAAAGGCTGCACACTGAAGCGCTGGCCCTCCTCTCTTCTAGAGCTGCCCGGTACCACTTTGCTCCTGGAACCACAGCTGTCCTGACCCAGGAAGTGAGGCCCCTGAACCTGGAGCTTCTGGAGGAAACCGTGCAGGCCATGGAGGTGGAATAAAGTGGCCTAAGACTTAGAGCTTGGAACAAGGGGGAATAAACCCGGGAAATACAAACACTTAAACAAAAGACTCTTGTCATTTTTGAGAGGAGTGGGACAAAGAGCCATAGGAGCTTTGTGCCTGGGGCATCTAAGGACCACAGGCCTGGTTCCTTCATCATCACCTCAGGGGTCTGTCTAGGATCCCAGCTCTAGTCAGCACTACAGGCTTTGAGGTGGAAAGCTACATCCTGTCATCCCAAACCTAATTCCACACGGTGGAAGCATACCCCTCCCCCCAGTCTCCATCTTGAACGACCCCATGGACAGCCCCTACTCATTGCCGTTCCCTGGCTTATCAGTGTTGCCCTATTGCCACCAAGTCCACCCGGGGTCCTAAGGGGGCTAAACTGCTGATAGAGCAACTGTTCTCACCAAGCACCCCTCATCCACCTACAGGGCCTCTAACTTTATGGCACCCCTCAAATGACCTGGCATGTGTGAGCCACTGGTGAAAAGCTGGGCCTTGTCTGCACACGCGGGGCTGTGAGTAGGGAGATGGATTCCAAGCTCTCTGGGCTGAAAGGGGTCGTGAACTCATGGGGGAAGATGACACATTTAACAAGAAATTTTTGCTAAGCATCCACCAAGGGCCCAGCCCCTGGGTTGCTGCTGGGAACATCCTGCTCTCAGAGTAGCTAAGCCCCACTGGGTCTTCAGAATGAATAAGCCACATTCTCCAGAGAGGTTCTTCTCCTCCAGGCTGGACATCTTTGGCCCCTGACTTTGTGTTCCCTGACATTTTATTATGAAAAAATGTATATGCAGTAGTAAAGTTAAGAGAACAGCTCACTAAGCATCCAAGTGTCCATCAGGTTATAATTCATATTTTGTTGGATTTGATCTTATTTCTATCCACCTCTTTATTCACCCGTTCACTTGTTGCACTTTTCAGACTGGGGTATTATTTTTTTTAATTTTTATTTATTCATTTTACATCCTGACTACCTTTCCCCTCCTCCTCCTCCCAGTCCCTCCCCTAGGCTGAGGTATTCTTGAGTCAGTCAAAGCCTTTGATATTCTAGAAAAATTTAAGCCAACTCACCTGTTGCAACTCTGCACACACAGACACCATCTCTCCATTGATTTAGTTCAGCCTGGAGCTCAATAACAAATGCACTGTGGACAGTTCTTGCCCATGGAAATCTGGGGTCTAGAAACAGATGTCACGGCTGTCACTCTTGTGCTTCCAACTTCAGTCCAGAGTCTGTCCCTGAGGGCTCACTCACACTTTTGGCAATATAGGCCTTAGAACTGTCCCATCCCACCTCTCTGGGCAAACCTCTGACTCCTGTTCCACACTGATGAGGAATCCGAGATGATGTCTGTTAAGATTCAGAATCTCCATCCCTGGCCTTCACGGCAAAGGCACCAGTCATGGTACCTGCATGTTCTGAGCAGGCTTCTCTGGGAGTCCAGGACTCCTGACAGCCCTGGGAAACTTCATAATTCCCAGCCACCAGTTTGGTATTTTACACCTAGTTACACATATGTCCTTAGTTTCCAGTGACCAACACTTGGGATAGGAGGTGGCTCAGAAAGCCAATAGGAAGGCAAGACTTGGGGAGCCACCTCCCCAAGGTGGGAGCCTCACACCTGGATACTTGATAATTCCAAGGACTTTGGCCTAAGAAGACCTCTCCTAGGCTGGTGTGGGAGTGTGCTAAGACCACACAGCTGGCCTAGTCTCAAGCCCAAGGCTTCTGCCCAAGGACAAGGATACCCATAAATAAAGCCAGGCCATTCTCAACTTCATTATCTTCCACAATGTTACTGCTCAGCCTAACCCTTAGCCTGGTCCTCCTTGGCTCCTCCTGGGGTAAGTGGGCTGGGGACCAATCCTGACCAATCAACTTAGGGCAACTTAGCTTCCAGCTCCTGTTTAGGGGACTAGAGGAGTCGGCCTGGCTAGAAGGAAAGTGGACAGTACAGGCAAAGGAAAACTAATGTACTTAGGCTAAAAAAACAAATGAGTCAGACGATTGAGCCAGACCTGAGAAAACATGAAAGATATGCATAGTCTAAGCAAAGCAGACTAACAGAAGGCCAAGGAGATGACCCCAGAGATCAGGGAGAACAGTGGCCTGGAGAATATCAGCACCAGGCTGGGGGATGTGATGTGCACAGGATTTGAGGGCTGGTAGGATGGGGTAGCCGAGACAGCTGTGTATGCCTAAAAGACACTCAGGAGAAGGGCTAGTGAGAAATCCTTGTGATCTGGATCCCTCTGGAATACACAGCGTGGGGGCCTTGAGCGAGAAGGGATGGTGAGGTGGGCTGGGATGTGGATACTCACCACCCTACTATGCCCAGGCTGTGGTGTTCCTGCCATCACACCTGCATTGAGCTACAGCCAGAGGATTGTCAATGGGCAGAACGCAGTGTCAGGCTCCTGGCCCTGGCAGGTGTCTCTACAGGTACACACTCTAGGAGTGGGTCAGGGTCCTGTATGTTTTATGCCTATGGGTAACTGAAGCCCATTCACGTATCTGACTTTTGACCCTAGGAAACCAATGGCTTCCACTTCTGTGGTGGTTCTCTCATCAGCCAGAACTGGGTAGTCACTGCTGCTCACTGTGGAGTCGTGTGAGTGTAATCTACCTGCCCTGCCCAGTCCATCTCTTTCTTTTTCCTTGTAGCATCCCCGCTACATACTACACATACTACGGTCCTGTAGCACCTGTACAGCGCCTGTACTACACCTGTAGCGTACCACGGGACAGTCCACAAGCCAGGCAAGGGGCTGGAGATTGAAACACACAAATACACAGAGACAGAGGTCATCCCTGAATTCCCCAAGAATGTCCCCTTTAATGTGTTCAGGGGCAGCTTATATAGTGCTCTGGTCACGCCCCAGCTCTCAGAATCTTTCAGCTGCAGACCAATCAGAAACCACTCCCCTGCCATCAGGGTCTCGTGCTCAGAGCAGCTGCAGGCTGCTCAGAGTAGAAGAAAACAAGTTGTTTACAGGAATTTCAGGGTCTGAATTCCCATTCCCATTATCCTTGCAGTGCTGGACGACACTTAGTTGTTTTGGGAGAATATGACCGATCTTCCAATGCCGAGCCTGTGCAAGTGCGCTCCATCTCGAAGGTAAGTCCCTGGCTGCACGTGTACAAAGGACAATGGGCTTTAGGTGGTCTGCTTTGGACACAGAAACTCAAGCATGCCCCAACCTACCCCTCGGCGCCAACCTTGGGTACTTGCGCATGCTCCAGCTTCCCATGGCTCTCTCCTGGCTCCGTAGGCCATCACACACCCTAACTGGGACCCCAACACTCTGAACAATGATGTGACCCTCCTGAAGCTCGCCTCACCAGCCCAGTACACGGCACGAATCTCACCAGTCTGCCTGGCTTCCTCCAATGAGGCACTGCCTGAAGGCCTCAAATGTGTCACCACTGGCTGGGGCCGCACCAGTGGTGTGGGTAAGAACTTGGGTGAGAACGAGGGGAGCCTGGAAGAAGCATCCTGGGCCAGCCTGACCACTTTTCTTGGCCCACAGGCAACGTGACACCAGCACGTCTGCAGCAAGCAGTTCTACCCCTGGTCACTGTGAACCAGTGCCGGCAGTACTGGGGTTCAGGTGTTACTGACTCCATGATCTGTGCAGGAGCCTCGGGTGTCTCTTCATGTCAGGTAAGCACAGGCACCCTGTCCTCTGTACTGTCCCATGGGATACTTCCTCAACTGCCATCCCAACTTTCCCCCTTTCCTTCCCTTTCAGGGTGACTCAGGAGGCCCCCTTGTCTGCCAGAAAGGAAATGCCTGGGTGTTAGTTGGCATTGTCTCCTGGGGCACTGAGAACTGCAATGTGAAGGCCCCAGCCGTATATGCCCGCGTGAGCAAGTTCAGCACCTGGATCAACCAGGTCATGGCCTACAACTAAACTGTCTGCAGATCCTTTCCCCATCCCAATTCAATAAAGACACCAGGCTCAGTTCTTTTGTGTAGCCTTGTCCTCTGTCTTGATTTAGTGGAAAGGAGAGGCTCTCAGGAGCTCTCCCCCTGACCTGGACTTTGCTACCCCAGGCTGTGGCCCCGACTCATCTTTTTGAACAATCCAATAGTCGCATGGCACAATCATGGGAATCAGAAGAAAATGGCAGCCTTCCCTGGGGATGGCAGCCTGTTTATTGGATACAGAAGATACATTTACAGGGTACACAAAATAAATAACTGCACATTCTCCATCCACGGGCCATGGCATGAACGCCTGGTGGACCTATCAAAGGCCCAAGACACAAACTCCCTCTGCCCTATCCTCACAACCAGGCCTATTTTGGGCAAGAAAGACAATTAAATCCCCAGTGGTTCACACCCCCAGAAATTCCTGGGGCAGCTGATAAGTGGGGGGTTCTGAGGCTGTGAGGCTCAGTCCTCCAGGGCCTCCTATCCAGAGGGCAGGAGGATATAAGGAGAGAGTACATAAGGCACAGTTGACTTGGCACACAGTGGTCTCTTTGGTTTGGTTTCCCAATGGAGGTGGCATACTTAGAAAGAGGGCCTAGCCTAGGGCTGCCTACTAAGAGGAGTTGTGTGGGAGTCAGACCCTTCTGCCGACAGAGGCTCTTAGTCTAGCTAAGGCTCAAGCTAGGCTCTGTCTGGCCCCTTCCTACCCACTGAGAGCAGCTACAGAGGGAGGGAGCTTGGATTCCAGCCTAGTGTGGTAGTGGTAGGGAGACCATGCCAGCTATAGGAGCTGTTGCGGCTCAGTTCTCTGGGAAAGCAGCCCCTGCAACCCTACCCTACCTCCCGGAGGAGCTCCCTCCAGCCTGACTCAGTGGGGACAGCCTCGAAAGTTAATGCTATGAAAAGAGGTGGGCACAGGGCAGATAGGGCAAGGCCAGCTCTTACAGCAAGGTCAGCACCCAAGGCACCTGGGGTTCAGAGGCAGGTAACACAGTACGGCTAAGTTCCAGGGTGAGGTTTGGAGAAGCTGAGCAGAAGAGGAGTTGAGCAGCCCAGGACTCTTCCCCCAATTCAGCAACTCCTTTCTTTCCTCTTCCTTTAGGAGGGCTGTGGCAAGGGGGTGCACCAGTCACCACCCCTCCCCCGGCCACCTATACCTAGACCAGACACTAGATGGCGCCATCATGAAGCTATAAAGAGGGCATGGCAGCTTTAGAAAGGGACCAGCAAAGGACAATACCAAAGGGTGGAACAAGGGTTGACAATGGGATTCTGAGAACTCGTCATGCTCACCCACCCCCAGGTAGCAGCAGTGGATCTCCTCCACCCCTCCAGGGGGGAAGGAGGCAGCTGGGGAATGACATGGGCATCTAAGCCGGGGAGAGAGAGACAATAATGAGCTCTGCAGAGGCACTGAGGGTGATGCGCAGAATCCTGCTTACAGAGAGGCCAGAGCCTGAAACGAAGGCCCATGCCACAGTCCTACCACGCAGCAAGTCTGGGGGCTAGAAAGGCTCCTGGTGGCACCATGAAGAAATATTGCTGTCGGCTGGGGAAAATGGTGAGGTTGCTTGGATCTGACTGGGGCTTGCAGTTTAGCTGTGGCAAAAGCTAGACCTCCCACTGGAGCATACTCTTAAGGATTAGTATGACGCAGGACATGGGAGCTAGACCAATGCTTTGTGGAAGAAAGGGGGGTTATAAAAGTAATGGATTCAAAGAGTCCTGAGCCATAGGACCCATTCTACCCAACACTATAGACCCCTTTGGTCCAAGAAAAAGGCAAACATTAAGGAGATCAGTGGGGACTGGGTCCTGTCCTTTCTTCCAACTCAGCAGCTGCCTACCAGGTTCTCAGGTTAGATGGTTCTGGGCCACCATCCCATCACAACAGGCCCAGGCCCAGGCCCAGACCCATGAGGAGGTAGGGACTACTAAAGGCACAGAGAAGAGCTAGACCCAGACATGCTCTATATACTGCTGGCCATGATGCCTGGGTACAGAGAAGACATTGGCCCAGGTGACAAAGCAGAGAGTGGCCAGAAGGAGACAACAGTGTGTCCATGTCACAGCTGGGTGGCTCAGCCATTATACTGCTGCTGATAGCGCAGATTGAGCTCCCGCAGTTCGCGCTCCCGAACACGGCGGGACTTGTTGGAGCGTGTGGAGCGGCTGGAACGTGTGGACTGGGAAGACTTGGTGCTCTGGCAACGAGAGGAAGCACGCTTGAGGAGATTCTGGGAGATAGATCGGTGCAAATTCTTCATGGACGAAGAGGCTGCCATGCTTACTACCCATGGGTGTCTCAGGGCCTGCAGTGCAGTCATCCGAGCTCCAGGGTCCACTGTCAGCAGGCGGTCAATGAAGTCCTTAGCCAGGTTAGATACACTAGGCCAGGGCTAGAAGCCAAGGACAAGTATTAGTGTGAGAGGACTCAACGCTGCCCTCCCCTCTGGATGATACCTCCACAGCACTAGGATCCACCAGCATCTGTGCAGTCTAGAGAGGCAGCACCTCTCCTCTGGAGCAGCACACTGGAGCTCCTTTCCTTCCCCTCAGGCTGACACAGCTTACTGAGCAGGCGCTGCTTGCTCATGAGTCTGACAAGGAGGAAAAGGACACATCATCTATCCTGGGAAGCAAAGCCTAACTAGAGGAGGTGGACCATGCCAAGACCCCTAACCTACCCTAGGGACTTTAACTAAAGGAGGTGGACCATGCCAAGATCCCTAACCTACCCTAGGAATTTATTTTTTATTTTTTTAAACAGTGTCTCTCTGTAGCTCTGGCTGTCCTAAAACTTACTCTGTAGATCAGGCTGGCTTCGAACTCACAGAAATCTGCTTGCTTCTGCCTCCCTGAGTGCTGAAATTAAAGGCTTTTTTTAATTATTATTTTTATATGTGTGTACCTGAGTGTATGTATACCCACCACACACATGCAAGTACCCACGGAAGACAGATGGACTGGAGTTTCGGCAGCTGTGAGCCCTTGGTCCTTTGCAAGGACAGCTCTTGACTGCTGAGCCATCTCTCCAACTCTAGATTTTTTTTAATTATTTATTTTTATTTATTTAATTATTTATTTTTATTTCATGTGCATGTGTCTGTATGGGGGTGTCAGATCCCCTGGAACTGGAGTTACAGACAGTTGTGAGCTGCTATGTGGGTGCTGGGTACCTACTGGAAGTTGTGAGCTGCTATGTGCTATGTGGGTACCCAGGTCCTACTGGAAGAGCAGCCAGGTGCTTTTAACAACTGAGCCATCTCCCCAGCAACCCCAACACTAGATTTTTGAAGAAAGTGATCCACATTTTCTCACCATGGCTAAACTCCAACAACCATCTGTCTGGACCATATTGAATAGAGGGAAATTTTACAGTCCTTACTGAGAGGGTCTCACCTTCTAACTTCCAAGGAGTTCCCCATCAGCATTCAGGCACCAAGAGAAAAAAAACCATTTAATGCATTTATATTTCTCAGTTTGGTGACAGGGTAGGGACTTCTAGAACCAGATGAAAATGATTACCCTTCTCAGAGACTCTGTCCAGTTTGTGTAGTGATATTTCATTTGTTATCTTAATAAATAATGCTTGCCTGAAGTTCAGAGTAAAACAGCTGCACTGATCAGCCTTACAGACTAGGCAGTGGTGACACACACCTTTTCCCCCTGCTTCCCAAGTGCTGGGATTACAGATGTGCCCCATCACCACCCAGCGTAACACACACCTTTAGTCCCGGTAGCCACATTAGTTTGCCACAGAAACCAGGAGGTAGTGGTGCACGCCTTTAATCCCAGCACTAGAGAGTAATATAAGATGGGAGGAGACAGCTCTCACACACAGTCTCATTCTGAGATTCCTGGAGGCAGGATCACCATTTCAAACTGAAGTAGAGGTTAAGAGCCAGCGGCTGGCTGTTCTGTTTTCCTGGCCTTCAGGCCAATCCCCAATTTCTGTCCTTGGGTTTTTATTCATTGTGCTACAAGTTTATATAACTTTTTGAGCCACAAAAGCCCCTGACATTAACCAGGTGTAATGGTACATGCCTTTAATCTCAGCATTTGGGAGACAGAGGTTGGCAGACGTCTGTGAGTTCTAGGCCAATATGGCCTACATAGTGAAAGCCTATCTCAAAGCAAACAAACAAGTCCTTAAGTATTATGTGCCAGCCTCCTTCTAGTCCATTTCTGTCCCTACAGAGCTCTCCTAAAAGCCTGGTCTGCTACAGGTAACCAGAATTGCCTTGTCTTAGCCATTCACAAAGTAGCTATCAACGCTGGCTCTCAGCCTCCCTAACTTGTCTTTACCTGGATGAAGTTAAATTCTTAGGGGAAAGGACATTTCCTTCAATGCTCTCCTAGCCTCCAGTGCTTACAATTATTCCAGGCTCTGAGCTCCAAGTTGATTATTAGCATTCGATGTACCGAGCCCTAGTGCTCGGTGCAGCTCACACAGGAGGCACTGAGTAGGTTCAGGTGGTTGAGCAATCAGATGCTGTCTAATGAGTACCCTCTGGGAACGCTGCTTCAGGCCATGGAACCCAGCCTCTGGGCCCCTGAACTTCCTGAGAGAGCTTCTAGAAAGGGCTCTGATGCTCCTTCAAGGGTAGGCCACCAGGTAATTCCCTGTTCTGCTATATGGGCTCTACTATGATGCCACGACACCACTCTCTCTTTACTGCTAGGTAAAGAGGTGCCTACTCCATGGCACCTTTTACCTTGGGGAACCTCTGAACATGCTCTCCATGGTCAGGCACACCTTACAACGGTCCACATTCCAGGTAGGGACACGGCCATTTAACAAAGACACACACCTGCTGATTCAATTGCCCTAGCAGGGCTCCCAACTGACAGACAGAAGTGATGCAGAGAGAAGACTCATCTGGACTCCTGAGAAGAGGTAGGTAGTTTTCTTGTAGTCACTGTCCTCACCTCCCTGTTAGTAAGCAAAGCTTGCTGGGCAGTGGTGGCACATGCCTTTAATCCCAACACTCAGGAAAACAGAAACAGGCAGATCTCTGTGAGTTCGAGGCTAGCATGGTCTATGGAGCAAATTCCAGGACAAACAGAGACACAGAGAAACTAAACCCTGCCTCCCTCAAAGAAAGAAAGAGAGAGAAAGAAACAAAGAGAAAGAAAGACACCCATTCACATAGTTTTTTTTTTTCCTTTAAAGAAAGTCCTGTGGATTGCTGTTGCCACCTGAGTACAAGCCTCTGCCTATCAGGAGATGGATGCAGCAGGCCTATTCGAACACGTGATGAACATGGCAAGCCCAGAACAGATCAGATCAGAGTACCTGCATTGTGCTGCCCTGCTGGGCTTCTCTGGGAACTGGGAAAGCTACTGCAGCCCAGCCTGGCTTGCTGGAAGAACAACTCCAAGGCAGCCCAGGGTACTCCGAACAGAGCTGAATGATTCTGAGTCTGTCCCTTACTCAATTCTGAACAGGAGCAACTCCTAAGTCAGGGATTTTGGTACACACATTAGATCCCAGCACTTAGCCAGGCAGTGGTGGTACACACCTTTAATCCTGGCACTCAGGAAGCAGAAGCAGATGGATCTGAGTTTGAGGGCAGCCTGGTCTACAGAGTGAGTTCCAGAATAGGCAGAGCTACACAGAGAAACCATCCCTTGAAAAAATAGTAGTAGTAGTAATAATAATAAAAAGATCCCAGTACTTAGCAGGTGGAGGCAGGAGGATAAGGAGTTCAAAGCCACCCTAGACTTTATAAGACAATTTGAAGCCAACCAAGGCTTCCTGAGACCCTCACAAACACACTCCTCCAAATAAGAGTAGCCGCTCTCTGCAGAAGGTGGATTCACAAGCTAGAAGCCTAAACAAGGATGAAGTGAAGACTTTCTCCCTTCAGATCCTCACACAGTTAAAGCATGGACTCCTGCGGCTTGCAACCAGTCTGCTACTGTCTTAGAAGGGCCTCTCAGCAGACCTGCACAGTGAGCTTAAACATCTCCATCTCCAGAGGAGCACAGGCACACACCAGGCACTAACCCCTGCTGCCTGTCACGCGCTCAGCCTGTTAGTGACAAAGCGAGCCAGATTGATCCACCCTTCCTACTCCCCAGACTCTCGCCTCATCAATTATTGTGTTCGTGCCACTGGGTACAGAATGCCAATGGACTCATTTGTCTGCAGGCCAGCCAGCTCTCTGGAAGGCCCCCAACACTCCCCATCTATGAGGAGCTGGGAGCAGCTATGCTGGTAGTGGTCTCCGAGCCAATGTGGCTCAAGTCATATTAACCAAAATTTCTCCGTCTAATCTTTGAGTGTTGGAAGAAACTAGAGTAGGAAGTCAGGCAGGCTGAACACAGGGAAGTGGCCCTCATCCAGCTTGCAGACAACGAGGCAGGAGTTTGGGGTGACCTCAGTTGAGCAACCTCTTACCTCGACCTCCCACATTACTCAGAAACGTAAGGCCTCCTGTGTCCTCCACAGTCCCACTTCTGGACTCAAGGTCATTCCAGCACCTCCCAAGAAAGTGGCCATTGCCTGAAGTTCATCCCACCTGCTTCTCTGAACCCTAAGTATGTCTGTCAGGCTATGACTGACTGGTCAGGAGGCATTCTGGACATGAGAAAAAGAAAAATGATTAAACAACCATGCCCTTCGGTTTCCAAAGTTCTAACTGCTTTCTCTGGCTAAAGGACAGAACTCTGACCTCAGTATATATCTTGTGGTCAGATAGGGACATTCGTGGGCCTCAGGTGACTAACAGACGGGACAGGTCCCAATTGCAGTTGGTTAGTCTCCCATTGGTCTCTACCTGCAGACCGTCAGGAGATCTGTTTATGCTACTATGTGAAGACAGCTTCAGTATATGCTACTAGCTCATACTCTCCACAAGTCTCTGGACCCTGCATGCGTGGGCTGGGCCCTGGGCTGAGGCTGTGGGAGGAGGGTAATCACTGGCACTCCGAGTCTGACCATCAAGCTGGCTGCCTTTTTCCCAGTACACAAACTCTGAAAGACCTTGTTCCCTTGCAGTTAAAGTACCTACTCTTGAGGTTCTAACAGCAGAGGAGACAACTACAGAGAGTGGGAGGGACCGCTCCCTAAGCACCCCTTCACCAATTTCCCCTCATTATCCCCTACTTTTCTCCTGGGCAAAGCCATTCCTCTGTGGACTCCAACTCTCTCCTAGAGGGAGAGGCACCAATATACAAAGGCATTGTGTTCCAGCTCAGAGAGCGTGTCTCCCTTTTCTCTCTGCCCCTTCTACTTGAGTGGGAAGGTATGGCAAGAACATTTCCCAAGGCTACAACATAGTCTCACTTTGAGCCTGAAAGCTAAGAAAAGGAGGCTGGAGGCAGCTATCCAACCGAGGCTGCATAGGGATGCAGAAAACCCTGCTCACCTGCTACCCCAGACTTCCTCTAG